TGGCGGCGCGACCCACCAAGATGCATTCTGGGAGCTGGGAATAACGTCTCGGTTGCGTCGACGCTCCCTCTCTCTTTCCCGAAGACGGTTATCGATCCGGATGGCCACGGCGATGAGAGATTCCAGATCCCGGGGTGTCTCCAGTGGAGCCAGCTGGTCTTTTATCGGTTCCGAAAGTCCCGTCATGAAGGCGTCACGAAGAGCCGGAACATTCCATCCGCTGTCCGCTGCTGCTGTGCGAAACTCGATGGCGTAATCAACCACCTGGCGGTTGAGCTGGCGTATATGAAAAAGTTTTCTGCTGGCCTCTGTAGCAGGCGATGAGTGGTCAAAAATACGACTCATAGTCTCTATGAAATCGGTCAATGAGTAACATAGTTCAGTTTCTCTTGACCATTCTGCAGTAGCCCAGGCTGCAGCTCTTCCCGTTAAATGAGACACAATAAACGCCACTTTACCATGGTCCGATGAAAAGGCTCCTGGGTTGTGTTGAAAATGCAGATCGCACTGTACCAAAAAGGCTCTGCAATTAGAAGAATCTCCGGAAAATCTCTCCGGAAGAGCCAGCCGTAAAGGGGAAGAAACAGCCTGACTTGGGAAATCAGCTGGAGCATTGACAGGCAACCTCTCAGTTGTGGATGACGTCACCGGAGGAGCAGTCTGTTGGTGAGTGAAAAAATGATTCATTTGGACAGCCAGTTGTTGCATCTGTGTGGATAATGCTTCCTGAATCCCGGCCTGGCGTCCTCTTAGTTCTTGCATTTCCTGGTTGACTAGGCCCAGCTGTTCCTCGTGATGAAAGATCTTCACGCCCTGTGCTGACAGCGCTGCGTGAAGCGTTCTTGGGTCGGCTGGGTCCATAATGGTCAGTTCGTTCTGTTACGAACTCAGACACTTAGGATGTAGGACCCAATTGCACGACCCGGGAGACAGAGGTAAAGTATTAGTAAGATACTTTATTTTCCAAAATACAGCAATGAACAAAAAAAGGTAACTATCAAATCTCTAACCGAGATGACAAAAATAGAGGAACAAAATGAAAGCGCTCACGTAGTGAGGAATCAAACTTTACAAGAGTACAAAGAGCATAGACCTGACCATAGCAAGAGACTATACGAACTGACAAAGAACACTTGGGAGACAGGGGAATATAAGCACAGGGTAACTAGACACAGGTGGGACCAATCCGGGGCGGGGCTGACATTGATGAGCACAGGAGACACAGGTGAAAATAATCAGGAAGCCTGGAATGAGAGAAAGCAAACGTAAATAACATGCATCTCTCTAGCATTTCTGTCGGTGCACAACACTTGGTGAGTTCCCTGGAACACCGGGGACACATATTCATGTACAAAAGACGTACAAAAGTGCATTTTGCATGATAGGTCCCCTTTAACTATTAAATACATTGAGTTTGAGTAAAATACTTGGTTACTGATTAATTTAGGTTATAATATATTAAATAAATTGCAAAGCAAAACATGCTGTAATTTATTTATTTAGTATTTTTTTAAAGGTTTTCAACCTGAAAGAATCCTAATGTGTCCTTGAAAAGTTGAAATAAAGAAAAGGAAAAAGGATTCCAGTTGTCCATGCGTCCTCTGTTGCCCCTCAAGCCTCTCAAATGTGGGCAAACACTCAAATAAATGCCAAAAACCCAGAGAACTTGACAATACTTATCAGAATAAAAGTATGTTAAATAACACTGCTACCTAGTTAATAACTCACTCAGTGGAGGCTCGTCCATTGAAGAAAGGGAGGACCATCCACCCTAAAATTTCAGAAAAAAATAAACTTTGAAGAGAACAATAAATACACCTCAATTTAAGATAAGTCTGTTAAAATCATGGTTAAAATACAGATAATAGCCCTGACTTTTAACATGGGACTGAAATGGGGCTAGAGACGACGAGCCTCCCTTTGGGCGGGTCTATCCAGAGGCTCTGGATTGGGCGCCTATATCATCAGTGAACCAATCAGCGGATCTGACTGCGCATCAGAGTGTTGATGGGGAGGGTTATCAGCGATATCAGAGTTTTTTCTGAACCGGGGAACAGGGGCGCTGCGCCCTCTTACCAAAATCAATTCCTTGAATTAGGCTTTGATTATGTTCTGGCCCGCCATCTTGTGGCTCAGCAAAAAATTGGCCCACGGCCAAACTTACTTGCCTACCCCTGCTATAGATACTACCCCAGTTCCTAAACTGTAATGGTAATGCGCCATAAAGTGAGCCAGTCTTAACGAGGCCTAGTCATACCGAGCGAGGCCGAGCGGGGCCGTGTAGTGGAAACGCGCCAATAGACTTGAAAAAATGTGAACCTGTTGTGTGATGATTACTGCGCATTCACAATACAACACAATATCCATTAAATGTGTCTATAGATGATGATCTTTCTACTTTTCACGAGTACCCAATGCCCTAACAACCCTCATTTCTCTTTTATCATTTCCTTTCCTCACCCTAGTTACAACTCTCTAGCAGATTGTTCTGTCCCAACTGTTACTTAAACACATGAGTCTCTCTCTCTCTCTCTCTCTCTCTCTCTCTCTCTCTCTCTCTCTCTCTCTCTCTATCTATCTACTGTATCTCTCTCTCTCTATCTATCTATCTATCTATCTACTGTATCTCTCTCTCTCTCTATCTATCTATCTATCTATCTATCTATCTACTGTATATATCTCTCTCTCTCTCTATCTATCTATCTATCTACTGTATCTCTCTCTCTCTCTCTCTCTCTCTCTCTCTACTGCTATCTACTGTACTATCTATCTACTGTATCTATCTCTATCTATCTATCTACTGTATCTCTCTCTCTCTCTCTCTCTCTCTATCTACTGTATCTATCTCTCTCTCTCTATCTACTGTATCTATCTATCTCTCTCTCTCTCTCTCTATCTATCTATCTATCTATCTATCCATCTATCTATCTATCATTCTATCTATCTATCATTCTATCTATCTATCTATCTATCTATCTATCTATCTATCTATCTGTCTGTCTGTCTGTCTGTCTGTCTGTCTGTCTGTCTGTGTGTGTGTGTGTGTGTGTGTGTGTGTGTGTGTGTGTGTGTGTGTGTGTGTGTGTGTGTGTGTGTGTGTGTGTGTGTGTGTGTGTGTGTGTGTGTGTGTGTGTGTGTGTGTTCTGTACAAATGACTCAAACCACTTGGTCTTAATGTCTGTAAGGGGACCACACACACACACACACACACACACACACACACACACACACACACACACACACACACACACACACACACTGTACACATTCAACTTGCCGAGACCTTTCAGTATTCAGTTGATGTGAATAGGCGCCTTTCTTGTTATCCTGCTAGGTGGTCACCCACACACACACACACACACACACACACACACACACACACACACACACACACACACACACACACACACACACACACACACACTGACTCCACCACATAAACATACCGGTTATATAACTTTTGATGTCCTCTCTGAAGGGTCCAATCAGCTTTATGGAAACATTTATGCATTTCTAGTCCACAGCCTCACACACCAACATTCATCTGAATCACTTTCTCTTATTATTTTGAAATGAGAAAAAATAAAAGAAGGTCAACTCAAACTCTTTCCGCAGGTCTGCATGATGATGAACTCTTCCCGATCAAACATTGGAGGTGGTCGATTGTATCTTAGCGTAGGTAAAGGCCCATGTATACTTCATAAAGGGAGCTGTTGGGCCGTGTGCTCATACTCTGACTGATGCCACCAAAACAAAAGCTGCAAGAGTAAGAACATCTTCAGCTGGTATGAAATGAAGGTAATGTAAAATAAACTCAAACAAAGTCAACGTGATTTTCTAGAGCCTCAGCACTGTGTCACAGAGAAATCGAAAAAACATCAAAGAGAATTTTGTAAGCCAATCAGAAGCTGAACGCACGCAATATCATCCTCCAAGGTGTCATAGTCCTAACTGGCTTTATTTTAATAACTCGAAATGTAAAATAATCAACATTTTATGATACGATGTTTTTTGTATGTGTTAGATAAACAATCTATGGATTGTTAAAACAAGATGTGATCATGGTTTGAGTTCATTTGTCATATTGTCTTAATATATTTGGGATTGTTGTGAATCTTCTCTTTTCTAAAGTGTAATGGATGCAGTGGGTTTATGCTGGCGCTGCAAAAACACAGTGCAGATTGAACTTTACCATAAATGCAGAGGGAAATGTGTCTGTACTGTATGTGTGGATTTCTATCAGAGTTGGTGGTAAATGTGGTCGATTGAAGCAATACTTTTGCAATTCATATTTCCCTTAGAGTTTTGTTGAGTTCTCTGCAGAGTCCATTAGTGAACGTGTCAGAAGCTGCAGGCCGGGAGCAGAGCACCATAAATTGCCCATGAAGCAGACCTAATATCTCCCTATGGGCCGGCATGCTTTGAAAATGTGTTATTTCCATATGTTCATTAATTTAGTGCATTGTTTGGAGTGTATGTGTGACCTGAAGAGAACTGTGCTGTGCTGAACAAAGCAGGCTGCAATGAAAAGTGTTTCTGTTTAAAGTCTTATCAGAGTGTGTGGGATCCAATAGGATGTGAGTGTGCTGTGTGTCCCCAACATCCAGACGTTCACCAGCATCTGGCTGCGGCTCATTTTCCACCCACCACTGGGATCCTTCCAGGGGCTGCTTCCAGGGAAACTAAATCACTCAGAAATGTCCACAGCACCGGACCGGCTGAGGAGAGAGGGAGGGCGAAGGAAAAACTGGACTTGTCTCATCTCTAATCAGAATACGTCTTTACACTTGATATGGGACATCATACTGTAAATTAAGAAGTAACAATGCAGTGAGATATAGGCAGCATTTTTTCCAGTAGTATATTTCATCCTATTATAGTATGGGCAAATACTTTCCAAACTACTCTCCATAAAATGGTGTGTCTTCTGAAACGCTCGGAAAAGAATTGCAACAAGATCCTATTTCTCATCTGCCCCTTTATTTAACATGCTTCACATTCTTACAGTTTATGACGTCAACGTTTATCAAATTTGTGTCAGGTAAAGGGATCATTCCTATGCACTTCAATACATACTCACTACTAAATTCATCCTTGCTGCATGCTTCAAAAAATACCTGAAAACTCATTGGACCACTGATACCTGGTTTTATACTGTGTTCACATCGGTGCTATTTCATTTATATGTTAAGTATAGTATATGTTGTTCTCAAAGTTTGCCATTTGATTGAATTGAAGCTGTTGTTTGTATATTGATCTTGTGTTTTATATAAAATGGTGATTTATAACATTGTTTAGGGAAAGGCATTAAATAAGCAAAATGGGTTTTCGACTCTTCCTGCACTGTTTATCATTTCTTATCTGTTATGTTTGTGTATTTTTAAATTGTGCAAAACCATTAAACCAAACCTTTATCTTTTTCAAATATTTTATTATAAATTAAAAAAAGGCAAACTTGTGGGGAAGCAGTTGAAATCAACTTTGTCTGGAGACTTTTCGAACAAGCAGAGCCTTAATTAGAGAACATTACTGCACAGGAGTGAACATGCAACACGCTAAGCACACATACAATACACACTCAAAATGTAGTTATTACTCTGATTTTTGATGAAACATGTTCAAGTAGAATCATTATTCAAATCGATATTTGCTTTATTTAAGCAAATATTCTCAGCACAGTCGGCCACCGTACATAAGAGGTGAAACAATCTATACTTTTTTACAGACTTCATCAATCCCACTTAACAGGACACTAATAACTCCTATTGCAAAGCACTGAACTCATAGAGGGTCGTAACAGCAACCAAAGCCAGGACGCTCTGATGACCATTGTGTTTTTAAACGTTAATTCAAAGTGTGTACACATGGGGGAAATCCTCCAAACTCATAATCATGCATGAAAAATAAACTGTTCACAATTTCAGGATGCACATGTTCTTACAGAATGGGACACAGACACAGAGTGCTGTGCATACTCCACAGAGATGTCCCCATCACAGTCTGAATATACAGAGGGACAGGTATACATATTTTCAAACTGAAAACTTTCCACTTGGAGAAAAAGAAAAATATGTGAACACAGATGTCATACAATGGATACATTCATTCATGTGTCCCTGGAGTTTTCTCTATTTCCAAATGTAAGAACATTTCCACATCATTTCTGAGTTAAATGCTACTCTCGCTACTTGTTATTGACTCAGGTGTGTGTGTGACAAAGCAGCCACTGAGGGCATTATAAAAAACACATTCAGTCAGACTGATCCACAGTCCTTCAGAAACAAAACGCTGATAAATAGTATTATCTTATTTCTACTGTCCTTTCTTTACTGGATTTGCAGGGGTGCTTGTCCTTTCATAGCGCTAATAAGCAAAGACGAGGTCATAGGTCATCTGGTGAGCGTTGTCCCATGCGTACAGTTTCTTGTCCAGGGGGCAGTAGGCCACCTGAGAGGTGTGTGTGTGCATGTTGGTGAATGCCAGGCTCGGCACGGTGTGTGTGAGCGTATGTGTGTCAAAGGCGTAGGTCACGTTAGCGTAGCGATGTTCCATACTGTTCACTGCGTAAAGCACGCCGCAGACCAGGAAGCTGTTTCCGTAGCGACCGCGCCGCAGACCTGTGCGGAAGCTCTGTATGGGCTGCAGGTCTCGGTGGCGCAGGTGGAGGAGCAGGATGACCTCCTGGTGGAAGCCCTCCGTGTCCAGAGCCGGGTACAGCAGCCACAGGCCGGACTCATCCACAGCAAACTGCACCTGGAGACACACATGCTGTCACTGGGGGGACCCTCACTCAACCCTTACATGTCTCTGTATCCTGGGGGATACATTCATTTGACAGGCTGTGGCAATGTTTAAAGAGGGTGTAATAACACTGTAAATACGGTGGCATATATGGAAAATATTGCTGTTACATTGATCTAATATGGGTCTAATAACAGTGTAAAATTGCTTCTACATGGGTGTAATATAGGTGTAATAACAGTGAGAGTAACATGGGGTTAACATGGGTGTAATAGGGGTGTATTATTGTGTAATTGGGGTGTATTTTAGGGTAAAGTTAATCCGAAAGTTTTTATAATCCAATTAACCAGTGTCAGGTTTTTTTTTAGAAAAATATAGTATGAGGGCAATCCTGTGGCGCTGATCTTGTTTATAAGATATATCAATTCTGGCAAGAACATGACACCCGTAAACAAGATGGCGCCACGGACGTAAACAACAACGTGACGTCGGAGCTCCGCAAAAATAAAGCTGTCTCTGCCGTCTGACGCTCTGTTTGACACAGTTTTTATATTTTTGGAGTAATTATACAGTTTTTTGACGAACAGAAATATTTTTTTAACTGGCCATACTGTATGAACTTGACTCAAAGACTGTATTCATCTTCTCTTCTCACTTTCTGAAACTAAATAAATAAATGCTTTCTGCATAATCTTTACTTTTCCTTTGAAAATATTTGATGTGGGTCCAGTCAGTAAAATGTCTTTATATTTGAGTCTG